GAGTATGGGTCACCATACTTGGCCACATGTCACGTCACTTTTCACTTTTTCACTTTTCACTTTTCAATACTACAGCGAGAATAAAAGTTACTCCTTCTTTCTTTGTGTGAACATTTGGGCGGCGTTATGCATATCTTCCCACATAGTGAGGTAGATATGTGGGGGCGTGTTCGAACGAGCCGTTTTAGGTAGGTGTGGCTAACTCTTAACTTTTATAAAGAATATCTCTTTGGATTTGAGACTTTAGTCTTTGCAACTTTACAGATCTTCTTTATGCACCAAGAGCTTGTAACACTCTAAAGAGAAAGGAAAAAATGAAATCGCATCATATGACCCCTTTAAGAACTGTTAGAGTCATTTTCATACTATGCAGGACAGGACACTTTCAGGAGATACGATTTACTATCAGGACAAATGCGAAATATTCTATTGGGTTGTAATATTTCTAGTCCTCTGTTTCTAGAAAAACTTTCTATGTTGAACACTATGGCCCAGTTTCACAGACAGAGCTTAGCTTAAGCCAGGACTAGGCCTTAGTTAAATTAGAATATTTAAGCAGCTTTTATTAAAATGACTTATAAAAAAATATTACTGGCGTGCATCTTGAGACAAAACAATGGCACTGACATATTTTAAGATATGTCAGTGTAAGTTATTTTCAGTTGAGACAGCTCAAACATGCATTTTAGTCTAGGACTAGCCTTAAGCCTTGTCTGTGAAACTGGGGCTATAGGTTTTTAATCAAGTTAATCCAAATGTGGTCTTGAAATTTTAGGGAAAATGGGTCTTACATAGTTTTTAAATGTTACAACAAGTATTTTTGCCATGAAAATAGCTGCATGGCATTAAAAACAAATAAAGTACAGTTTTCTTTTAAACTGGAAAACTGTAGGCTACATCTCATTTCCCATCATAAAATTATATTTTAGTCGTTTAGGAAATATCACACAAACAAGAATCCCATATAGCTCCTGAACATCAGCCTATCTGCACTCTGCAGCTTTGTATCTCAGGATATCAGTAAACAAAAGTTAATAAGTAATTTACATTTAAAACAAATTTTGACGAGTTAAGCTTGTATATTTTTCAGTTTCAATACACAGACTGAAATACGGTCTGAAGCTCCGTAAGTGGAGTGGAGCGACTGATAACAGTGTTCAGTAATCACTCCAGGTTTTCCATCTCCACTAGGGGTTTTTCCATTTCCCTCTCAAGGCTGGTTCGCAACAGAAACCCGCACCAATTTTCAAACAATCCGCTTCTCCTCCGGGCAAATTTACACATCACTATATTTTATACTGTACTGTACTGTACTATACTATACATTCCAAAAACGATGGATATGGGCAGTACAAAATAGACTGCGCATGGTCCCTTCAAACCAAGAATATTAGAGATAGTGGAAACTGCTACACAGAGGAAGTGAGCATGACTGAATGTAGACTTGTGCCGGTATTCGGTCATGCGATATATCACGGTAATGAATATGCACGATATTGTTATCGTGGGCACTTCTAAATACCGTGAATAATTATATTTTACAAATTATTCAGAATTTTGAATGCATTTTAAGAATACTTTTCCCATAAACTGGTCAAAATGCACAACACCGCTGCATGCTGCGTGAAGGACAGCAATTAATCGCAACATGAAAATTTGATACCGGCGTATCCCTAACTGAATGTCATTTTGTGGAACAGACGCGGGTGTGCTGCCGTCTGTGCGCCTCAGACGCCGTTAATAGAGGGAAAAACCTCCTGACCTATTTCCACATGTGATGAAGCTCTGGCGCTGTTGCTGGGTAAAACGGTATAAGCTCACACACTCCAGGACACACATGCCAAGATTCATCATGCCACAAGTTTGAAAGTACAAACATGGCATTGACTCAAACCATAGTGCTGCCTACCTAGGCAGCATTTTTGTCCATTATTGGCACGTGCTTTCTAGCCAGGCAGTTTGCTAAATTTTGAGAAACAGCCGAATTAACAACTGTAGCTATTTCTCATTCATTACACCCTTACAAAATGAAAATGTACCAAGCTAAGCGTAATCTTCTGCAAATAAATAAATAGATTTAAATTAAAAAAAACATACTTTTGTTAACATCCTGTTATTGTTAGTACTCTAAAAAAAAACTTTCAGAACAGTTGTCAGTTGTTTAGTTTATTTTGTAACAGTTAACTAATAATGAGTTAACGCAGTTTCATTATAGTAAGAATAACTTAAATGGTATTTTGCTGGGTTTTTTGTAAGCGAGCATCACATAAAAATCTTTGTTTACTGCACTGATCTGTTACCTTCCAAACTGAAGTCCAGCAGCACATACTCGTACACGGAGTCTGTTTTGGTCTCGACCTGTGGTCTCTTTAAAGTGGAGTAGATTTTTCCCGGGCTGCTGTCCTCCGGGTCCTCCAATTTCCGTAATCCACATCCCATATTTGCGGGCTCTCCAGCACACGCAAGGCCGGACACGGGGCGACCCACTCGGCCACGCACTCAGAGGACTCCCGCTCCCGTGCTTAGTGGGTTTGCTCCATATTACAACAACTTAATCCTTTGGGAGTGACACTGAACCGAGAATGACGTGCCGTGTGTCCGATCCCGTTTAAGAAAACGGCTTAAGTCAAGCAAAGATCACCAAATCCTTCTGCGAGGTCTTTATGAGACTAAAATAATAAAATACTCTCTGAAGTTGTGCAATAAAGAAATCCAGATTATCTTCATTAAAATCTCAATCAGAAAACCACATCTCATTCAGTCTCCCTATGTGGCCGCGAAATAATAAAGCAAAAGTTGTATTGGGCTGGAATCATGTTGAAATTAATGAGCGGGCGTGGCGAAGGAAACCGATTAAAAGGGCGGGGCTGAATATTAAACAGGAGGAGGGGTGTGTATAAATTATAAATGTTTACACAGCAGACAGAGACAACGTACTACTATTGTTCCTTTTAGTTATTTTGGTAACCCACTCCTAATGTTTTTGTGACATTTTTCAAATTCGTGTGTAAAACTTTTAACTTTATACATTTTTCTGTATTGCTTTATTGCATTTAAATGTGCAGTTATTTTTGTTATAAGAAAAAAGTTATTAAACCTGTTATACTGTATTATGACAGCACTTTTTTAACTTAATTTAAATATCTTGATAATACCGTATACCGTAATAAAAGCATTAGCAATTAATCGCAACATGAAAATTTGATACCGGCGTATCCCTAACTGAATGTCATTTTGTGGAACAGACGCGGGTGTGCTGCCGTCTGTGCGCCTCAGACGCCGTTAATAGAGGGAAAAACCTCCTGACCTATTTCCACATGTGATGAAGCTCTGGCGCTGTTGCTGGGTAAAACGGTATAAGCTCACACACTCCAGGACACACATGCCAAGATTCATCATGCCACAAGTTTGAAAGTACAAACATGGCATTGACTCAAACCATAGTGCTGCCTACCTAGGCAGCATTTTTGTCCATTATTGGCACGTGCTTTCTAGCCAGGCAGTTTGCTAAATTTTGAGAAACAGCCGAATTAACAACTGTAGCTATTTCTCATTCATTACACCCTTACAAAATGAAAATGTACCAAGCTAAGCGTAATCTTCTGCAAATAAATAAATAGATTTAAATTAAAAAAAACATACTTTTGTTAACATCCTGTTATTGTTAGTACTCTAAAAAAAAACTTTCAGAACAGTTGTCAGTTGTTTAGTTTATTTTGTAACAGTTAACTAATAATGAGTTAACGCAGTTTCATTATAGTAAGAATAACTTAAATGGTATTTTGCTGGGTTTTTTGTAAGCGAGCATCACATAAAAATCTTTGTTTACTGCACTGATCTGTTACCTTCCAAACTGAAGTCCAGCAGCACATACTCGTACACGGAGTCTGTTTTGGTCTCGACCTGTGGTCTCTTTAAAGTGGAGTAGATTTTTCCCGGGCTGCTGTCCTCCGGGTCCTCCAATTTCCGTAATCCACATCCCATATTTGCGGGCTCTCCAGCACACGCAAGGCCGGACACGGGGCGACCCACTTGGCCACGCACTCAGAGGACTCCCGCTCCCGTGCTTAGTGGGTTTGCTCCATATTACAACAACTTAATCCGTTGGGAGTGACACTGAACCGAGAATGACGTGCCGTGTGTCCGATCCCGTTTAAGAAAACGGCTTAAGTCAAGCAAAGATCACCAAATCCTTCTGCGAGGTCTTTATGAGACTAAAATAATAAAATACTCTCTGAAGTTGTGCAATAAAGAAATCCAGATTATCTTCATTAAAATCTCAATCAGAAAACCACATCTCATTCAGTCTCCCTATGTGGCCGCGAAATAATAAAGCAAAAGTTGTATTGGGCTGGAATCATGTTGAAATTAATGAGCGGGCGTGGCGAAGGAAACCGATTAAAAGGGCGGGGCTGAATATTAAACAGGAGGAGGGGTGTGTATAAATTATAAATGTTTACACAGCAGACAGAGACAACGTACTACTATTGTTCCTTTTAGTTATTTTGGTAACCGACTCCTAATGTTTTTGGGACATTTTTCAAATTCGTATTACACAAATTAATATTTTGAGATATGGAGATTAAGAAAGAAAGAAAGAAAAAAGACAACCCTAACACCTATTAAAACACCTTTATTTTCATTTTAATCTTTAATAATTGTTTTATTAAAGAATGGGATGTAATAGTCATTTTTACACCCCCCAACAATGATTCATGGTGAAAAATTCCTACCAAAACCAGCAATGAAGCAAATAACTTTTAGGTCACTTTCTGGCACAGTGTTTGCAGGGATGAAAATTCTATAAAGTGACTTAAAACCACATTAAATGAGACTGTAGCACTAGAAACATCTGTTCAAATAAGTGGTAGGCTAAATTTGTTGGCCATACAAAATTTGAGGAGCTGAGTAGAAAATTATGAGCAAGAGCAAGATGGAATTTTCAAAAATTAACATCTAAAATACTTAATTTACTAACCACTTGGGCATTCATTTAACCCATTCCATCTATTTCGGAGCTGTTATGCTATACCTTCCTTAAACCAGTAACACAGCCAGTGATCAGATGTGTTTTTTTTTGAAGTGTTATTGTATATTATACCATTGACTTTCAGAATTTCAGTTACTACAGACTTGTGGGATTGAGATGTTGTGTCACACGTGGGCCTTACTGTGTGTCGGCAGCTGTAATGTTGGCCTAATGTAGGGGCGTTTACAGGGCATCTGGATCTTGGTTGTGCATTTTAGAAGTAGCATACGGCTAAAGAGCAAACAGACATGCACCACTGTGGCTAGAAATCAAAGATAGTACCTTTTCTCTTACATTAACAAAAGCATTTTGTTAATAAAATAGAACAAAAGAGAGAGAAGGAAGGAAGGAGGCCTCCAAATGGGGGGAGCAGAGGAAAGCTAAGAGACACAACTCAAATAATTCAATGTGTTTATTATGTGGCTCTATTTTTACACAGCTGTGAGTGAGTCAGACGTCACCCAGGCTAAAGCGGAACAAAAAAACAAAACAAAACATGAAACTACCAAAGTAGCTTCTACTTTGCTACTGTACCAACTGTCAAACTTACAGCTGAAAACAATGCCCACCTGCTGGCTGTGAGCACCATGCTGAACAATAATCTCATTAACCAGCCACAAAGCGGCATATTTTTGAAAGCAGCTCATTTTAGTGGCTTTGTGTGCCGCTTTTTGTTTTGGCTCTTGCCATTCAGAACACAATAGTTATGATTAGGGATTAGTTTCCATAGTTTTCCCAAATTGATCCTTCGAAAACATCTTTGTGTCAAATTTCCTCTAATTCTTTTTAGATTATGTGGCCTTGGGTTGCCCTGTAAGACAACAGACATCTGATGCATTTATAGATTATAAGAGCCAAATCCAAAATTGGAATAATATAGTATTTGTTAATCTTTCACAGAAATTAAAGAACATCCCAACTGTATCTATCATGCCAGGCTCAGAAACATCAGTTTCAATCTCGACAGTAGGTCACACATCTGTCTGCCCGTGTGCTTCTTAGTCAGTGCTCAGAAATAACACTGAAAAACCAAGTCTGGGTCCTAGACCGGAAACCGCTGTCATTCTGAGACCACACCCAGAGGACGCTGGGAAGGAAACTCATGCCTGTAGGAAGGAAACAAACATACGGTAGGTAGTTAAACTGCCACAAAACTGTATGCAAATGTTAAACAATGTTATTTATTTTCAATTAGTTTTTCCAAAAATCACACTCACTATTAATTTCTCATCTGTCTCCACATTTTCATCTCAAAATGAATACAAACATTGTCATCTGATACACATCACTCCACTTTATAATCCCACCTCTGTTCCTGTGAGATTAAACTGGCATACATCAGTCACTCTGACACATAATCCGGACTCTATGCAGCCTGTTTATCTATTCCTGAGCTCCAGTGAGATCATATCTGATGAGAATCTATTGTAACTTTTTACAATCATTTTCAACATTAGATCAGCACAAAGCACTGTCACCTCACAACAAGTAGGCCCCTGTGGTTTGAGGCCTGGCATAGGAAAACGGTTTTGAAAATGTATGGATGGAGGTTTTGATTTCAACATTTAGGCTATTTCAAACGGACACTTACAGTATTTGTGTTTGATTTAGTGATGGAATTGTATCTTATTCCATCTTGTGGCGAAATTTAAAAGGACTGATCTACAAAATATAGGGGAAACTGAGTATTGTGAGTTGTAACCAATCAAAAATGAGCTACACGAGTGAAGTCACTATATCAGACATGGCAACTACCCTACTGAGGTGGCTGTAGACCTATTTTGAAATGAGGACAAAATGTTAAACTCTCCCCATTCTCTCTAAAACGAATTATTAATACTATTGAGAAACAATCTGCCAAGAAATAATACAAGTAAATATTAAGGTTGCTTAGCTCTGATTCATCATTCAGAAAATGCTAATTCAAACAGGACTTTTTAAGGACACAAATGCCATTAAACTGTTGGCCTCATGAATAGGCAAATTCAGTTTTGTAAATACACGTCTCTTCTTCAATACTTGTGACACAGCGCCATCTAGCGTTCAACTCAAAGGTACAAAAAGTCATTCTAACATGTCTGTTAGAGTTTTCACTCATCTCATTTGTAATAGAATTTGTTGTGGATCTTTTCCACTCATCCTGGTCAGTTAGATGACACATTTACCAGAGAGTGGTACTCTGACTGTGATAAATAATTCAAATAAATTATTATTAATAATAAAAAGAATGTGTGTGTTTGTTTGTGTGTGTGTATGTATATACTGTATATATATATATATATATATATATATAACGTGACTTGAAACTGACTAGAAACACCTGTTCAAACAAAGTTATAAGCTAAATTTGTTCGCCATACAGAAGAGAATATATATATATATATATATATATATATATATACAGGTGCATCTCAATAAATTAGAATGTCGTTAAAAGAACCAAAGACTTAAACTACTTCAGTCTGTGTGCATTGAATTTATTTAATACACGAGTTTCACAATTTGAGTTGAATTACTGAAATAAATGAACTTTTCCACGACATTCTAATTTATTGAGATGCACCTGTATATATGAGCATAAAGTTATAAACATGTTATAAACACAATAATGCAAATTTAAAGTTTTTAGCTTCTTCCCTCTTGTGAAAATGTGAGCGTTTGTAACCAGCTGCTCCTACTCTTTTCATTACTTTTGGTGAAGCTCTTGAGAGCGTTTTAAAAACTTTGATCCAAGCAATTCAGTTTTGAATGTGAAGAGATGTAGAGTGCAGATGGAAATGACAGACGGAAATAAACAGTGCTGATAGAAACTAAGATTCTGTGTTGAAACATTTTAAATGATAAGAGGCAATAATGCAATAAAGATCGTTTCAGATAGTGTTGCCTTCAAAAAACTTTTCAACCTTCTAAAAAGCTTTTTGCGTAGTGCATTGCGCACTTTTGTTCAAAACCTCTCATAAAAACAGTGAACATTTGATTTTGACTTTTTTTTTTTTTTTTTTGAAATACAATTGAAGCAATAAAAGACTTGAGATACAAATACTCCCTGCACATGCTGTTTTCTCGTTCTACACCGACCAGGGAGCTGAGGAGTGAAGGACGCTGAGATAAGAGCAACACGACCCTGACACACATCTGTCACCTCTCACACTCGCTTGCGCTCTCGGGCAATAACAAGCTCTATTAGGCTACCCACAATTCACTTACATAAAGTATAAAACATTGAAACATTTAAACGTAGTTTACAAGACAGCTACTGGGTAAACAATTTATTTAGGGATCCTAAATCACAGAAGCATATAAGATGAGCCATATTTTCAAAGCAAACTCTGTAGGCTATTTGTTAAATTTTCTTACTGACGTTTGATGTAGTTAATGTTAAGGTTCTTAAATCGTTGTAGTACTTCACGTCATACACTTGAGGGCGTGATACACATGAGGGCTATTTAAAAACTATTTATGATCACACTTCCGTGAATACTGCTGTATGTTTTGGAATATTTCAAGATATGCATGCACATACATTTCAGTTATTATAGTGGACATAAATCTAACCTTATTCATATCATTTTGCTGTGTTAACCTGGTTCTAAAATGTAAACAAATGACAGAAAAACAGATACTTTGTTACAACAAACTTTGTTGCTGATTGAGAATATTAAAGGGGTCATATGATGCGATTTCATTTTTTCCTTTCTCTTTAGAGTGTTACAAGCTCTTGGTCACAGAAATACTCCATATATTGCTCAGTAGGCTAATTCATATTAAATGGACACTGCCACATTTTTTAAATGGTAACATAAATAGAATGTGGCAAAAGTTGTGGAGTTGGGTGTAAACTTGCTTTGAAATGGGAAGATTTAGTTTTCAAACCTCTTTGCCTCATAAACTGTTAACTCAGACACACACACACACACACACACACACATTCAACATCTTACACCAATGTCTACTTTTGGCTGAACAGGCTGACTAAAACAAACTCCATTTTTAGACACTTGTATTTCTTGTCCAACGTTTCCATTTCATAACTTTCCTTTGCCACCCAGTGTGATAAACATTTAAGGTGTGGCAAAGTAAAGTATGAAGTTAAAACACTAATCAGTCTTAAAGTGCATATTAGAGCTCTTTTTAATGACACCCTTCCATAGAGAGGGTTTAGTTTAACCATGACAACCTGACGCAAGGGAAAAAGCTGCAGAGAGGTGTTAGAGTTCTTAGCCCTATGCTAATGACCCTCGGGTTCTGTCTACTTTTCACAGAGGACTCGCATCTCGAGCAAGCCCTCATGAGCAATTGGCTCATCACAATGTTTTC